CATCTGATTAATCGAGTCGTAGTTCATCTTGTATTTTCATTGCACAGTTTATTCGAAGATCGAGGGCCACCTTCAATTACTTTAATAGTTTTTCGTATCTATAACATACATGTAGAACGTGCATTCCAACAATTTTGAACAAATTTTCCGTGATTCAAAGTGAGATATAATATATCTTTCGATCGTTGTTTGAGAAGTCTCGATCGGAGGTCGAAGTTTTGGGTAGTATGACGTATCAAACGAAGCGAATGGAGAAATTAATTCTTGTTCTCTCTCTCTCTCTCCCCCCTTCCCTTCTTTTTCTCTTTTTTTTCTTTTTTTAGTTAAATTATACATCTATTTCTATTTGCTATAATACATGAGTATATGTATACTTGCGAGTATCGATAGTTTCTATCGATAATTGGATACATATTCAACTCAATTCATTCTACTTCCTTTATACACATATATTTCTTTAACATTACATATTTTTTGTAACTAGATCCAGTTTAAATGATAGGTACGAGGAGCTACCATGTCAAAAATTGCGCCATGATGAATTCCGAAACATTGTTATGCGATATTATAAGAAATAAGACGAGCATGTTACATTTATTTTTATTTTTCTAACGTTATCGTTTCCACTCGCAAAAGTAATGTTTCCCATTTGCTGGATCGATGCTGCCCGATAAATCTGTAAACATTACCAACAGAAGTATGGCGATAGAATATATATATGTGAGTGTGTGTGTGTGCGCGCGCGTGCTGTGTTGTGTATACATACTCATATATATGCAAGTTAGAAGGAGAAAGAGCTTAGTATTAAATTGCTCCAAAAAAATGGAGGCTTCATAGAGAGAGACTTTGATTGTGTGATATGAAACGGGAGACGACACGACGTTTTCATTTTTACTGCTGTTCTTCTCTCTTTCCTTTTTTTTTCTATCTCATTTTTATTTTTCGTCTTTTTTTTTCTTTTTTCTTTTAGAACAAGCGTTTTTTCCCATTTGCTTCAAATGGATGTTGCTTTCGATTTTTTTTTTAAATTTGTTTTCTTTCATTGTTGGATGAAACAATGCACGAGAGAGGCGAAAGTATTAAAAGTGCAGATCTGTCGTGGAGATTAAATGGCCCCTTACCACTCCCTCCCATTTTTCTTTTGGCAATCAAACGACGTGTCGTCTTCCTAGAAATATAATTTCGCTGTTTACCATATTATTATTATTCTTTTCATATAGCATAGGACCGTACATCTTGTACATTGTAGAATATCTTATAAAATAGAGAATATATAAATTTATATTATATATATAAATGTCTAGATCTATATATAAATATCTATAGAGAGAGAGAGAGAAAGAGAGAGAGAGAGAGAGA